CCCCCCCACCAATTGATTTAGAGAGAGAGGGAGAGAGAGAGAGACAGAAACATAGATCAGTTGTCTCCCATACACACCCGACTGGGTTTTGAACCCGCAACCTAGATATGTGCCCTGATCGGAAATCGAACCTGCAGCCTTTTGGTGTATGGGACAATGCTCCAGGGACAACGCTCCAGGGACAACACTCCAATCAACGGAGCCACCTGGCCAGGACTGCCTTTTGCTCTTAGTGGAAACAGGAAAATAGCAACAAATGATCAAAATGTGACCTATTATTTATCAATTCTCTCAGAGGGTTGTTATGTTTTTACTTTTTCCTTGGAAGTAAAGTACCTGCAAGATTCCCTCTTAGGGAGCTTTCTCTCTTCTTGTATTTTTGGGGTGATTTCATTTCCCAGTAGCAGGAAAGGTACAGTAATTAATTAGAATCAGGTTTTCTGAGATTGTTTCAGGATAAATAATTCCAGCTCATTGAGATTTTTAGAGGACTCTTGAGGGTTAGAAAGTGGAAAGTTTTTCAAAATGTATTTCTTAATCTGGCATACCACTCTCCCAGAAATGGGCACCTGAAACACCATGTCAGGTGTTTTGTGAAAGGGCCTCTTTCTATCTTTGTCTGGGGAATCTACACTATGATGGCATCTGTTACAGGAATTGACACTTAGGGAAAAGCCAAAATAAGAATATTTATATGTGTTTGCTTTCATTTGCAAAATTACACACAGGAAGGATAAACCAGAAATGAATGATATTTGTTATGTTAGGTAAATGAAAATAAGATTGAATTTTCCCTGTTGCCAAAGGGAGAGATCTTTACTCCCTCCTCTTTCCTTAGAGCATTTCTTTGAGAAATTGTATTTATGAGTCTCTAATTAATATAATATAATAATTATATTATGTATAAAATACATTAATAACATTATATTATAATGTATAATTAATATAACATATACAATATATAACCTATTATTAATACAGATGGATACAATTACCAGGTGAATTTAGGAGGAACTATGAAAGAGTGTACAGCAAATGGTGCTGTCAGGTCCTCTACATGAGGACTAGCTGCCATTTATCTTTTTTATTTTAAATCCTCACCTGAGGATATTTTTTTGCATTGCTTTTCAGAGAGAGTGGAAGGGAGAGAGAGAGAAACAGCGATGTGAGAGACATCGATTGGTTGCCTCCTGCACATGCCCCAACCAGGGCGGGGGACCAGGCCCACAAGCAGGGCATGTGCCCTGAAGCGGCGACCTCTTGGTTCACGGGACACGCTGACCAACTGAGCCACACTGTCCAGGGCTCTACCATTTATGCTGAGCACATATATGTAATGGGTGGTATCTCACCCTACAGAAGGGTGAGATTTCTTTCGGCCTTTGCAGTCTCATCAGCAGACTGCTTGCCTGTGACACACCCCGCAGTCTGGTTTAATGCTTGTTCAATAATAAAACCGTTTTTTCGTTTCTGCATTTGTGGGGAGGATTTTCTAGGTTGGCAGGAGATTTTAAAATACAGTTACCTGCAGGGGGTGGTGTGAATGAGCTGAAAGGACAGAGAATAAGGAATAGACTTCTCCAATGTCTTTTTGTAGTTTTGCCTTTTGAACCCTGCTGATGTTCTACATATTAAAGGACATAAGAGAAAATTAACAAGGATGGGGGGGGGGAGAAAACTCTAAAACTGAATACAAATTAGCAAAGGAACCTAAAGCCTAATACCAATTAATAGCATATTCACAGGAAGAAAACAACTATAACTCCTATGACATATACTGTAAAAATTAAAGAACTGCAAAAAAAGTTTGCTGTTCATAGTAATATTGGCTGACAAGCTGAGATATTCGGAAATTATTCTGTGCTTGTTGTAGGACTGATTAAGTAAATACACTGACTTTGTTCCACCTACAGTTCTCTCTGTGGGAGGAGGCACAGGAGAGGAAGAACCCCCTCCTGTGGGAAGAATTGGAACTTCAAGGTATCAATATCAATTAATGATTTTAAAAAGTACACCCTTAGCTCTGTCCACTGAACAGTTCTAAAGCAATGACACCGCTGACAGCAGGGGACACACCAGATGTTGTTTTAAAAATACTTTTCTCCAATAAAAGGAAGTCAGACTGCTTGGAAAAATGGCTGAGTCTAGGACTAGGGTAGGAAAGTTACAGCTGGTTGAAAATACTCAAAAACTAATGAGAGCGTCTCAAAAGGACACTGGAACCACCTTGAAGGGGCTCCCACTGGCCAAACTTGAGCATCTAGATCAGGGATGGGGAGACTTTTTTCTGTCAAGGGCCATTTGGATATTTATAACACCATTTGCAGGCCATACAAAATTATGAACTTAAAAATGAGCTATGAAAAAAGCTCCTAGATTTATTGAATTTCAAGTCCCGCCTGTGGGTGCCTTGGCAGGGCCAGAACAAATGATTTTGAGGGCATCCTATGGCCCTTGGGCTGGACGTTCCCCACCCTTGATCTAGAAAAATAACTGGCAAGGCTCCAGGAAGGGCTGGGGCAAAGATAAAAATATGATTGCACTCTGTACTCTAACCTCAATGTCATGTTACCTAACTTGTGTTTTCAGACTCTCCATGTAAATACGTACAGGCTCTCAGGTGGCAAGTTGTTTTGCTAAAGATCTCATTAGTAAAATGTATAACCTATTCAATAGGAATATAACCTCTTAAACCCAAGACATGTTTTAAACCATGGTTTATAAAACACATTTAGACTTGGATTGCATATGTGTTGAATGTAGGAAATAGTGTTAGTTTCAAACCTGGCCTGATATTATTTGTGAGGTCATTAGTGTTTTTATTTTCCTGTTGGTCCTTTTTTGTTGTTCTAAACTAAACATGCTCTTGACATTTTTGGGGTGCAGGGAGGAGGTGGGTAAGAAAACAGTTTAGTTTGGCCTCCATGGCTGCTTCAGTTTCTGGATAGGGTCTGGGCCCACTGGTACTGGGTAGGTTCTTGATTTTGTGTAGGAAAGATCTTACAATACTAGTCCAGGTGATTTTGAGTATGTTTATTAAAGCTGGGGACAGTGAAACATAGAAAGGGCTTAAGATAGAAGCAACAGGAGAGAGGAAGTCAGAGAAAAAGGGGGCCTTGGAGACAGGTTCAGGGGGTAAGCCCAGGACAGGCTGCCGCTGCCTGCTGCTCCCCTGGTTACAAGTCTCATGGGGACCCATAGAGTTTAGGAGAAAGAGCAGAGATACAAGACATGGGTGTGCTCTAGCAAGAGCTTGCCATGGCTCAATCCTTTGTCTTGATACTTTTTATCTTTCTTGTTTTAAAATATGATTTTATTGTTTAGAGAGACAGAGAGGGGGAAAGAGAGAAACATTGATGAGAAACATCGATCAGCTGCCTCCTACATGCCTGCTACTGGGGGTTGAGCCTGCAACCTGGGCATGTGCCCTGACCTGGAACTGAACTGGCGACCTCTTGGTGCACCTGATGTCGCTCAACCAACTGAGCCACACGGGCCGGGCAAGGCTACTTATCTTTCTTTGGTCAGTGGAATCCTAGGGGATGTCTCAGGGGGAGGGTCTTAGCAGGATACTCATTAGCTTTCCAGGTGTGTCCTTCAATACGTTGATTCATCAAAATGTGTACATAGAGAAGCCAGGGGTTATTTTCTGGTTGGATTTATTTATTTATCTTCACCCGAGGATATTTTCCCACTGACTTTAAAGAGAGTGGAGGGGGGAGAAACATCAATGTGAGAAACATTGATTGGTTGCCTCCCACACATGCCTCGACCAGGGCCAGGGATTGAACCTGCAACCCAGGTCCGTGCCCTTGACTGGGAATCAAACCTGCGACCCTTCAGTGTGTGGGACAATGCTCTAACCACTGAGAAACACCAGCCAGGGTTGGTTACTGTTATTTTTTACTTTTTTAAAATATATCTTTATTGATTTCATAGAGAGGAAGGGAGAGGGAGAGAGAAACATCAATGATGAGAGTCATTGATCGGCTGCCCCCTGCACGCCCCCGACTGGGGACCGAGCGCGCAACCTGGGCATGTGCCCTGACCGGGAATCGAACCCCGATCGCCAGGATCCCAGGTGGACGCTCAACCGCTGACCCACGCCCGGCCAGGCGGTTAGTGTTATTTTTAAAGAATGCTATTGAAGAGGGACTGGGACCAAGAGAGTCTGGAATGTGTAAACCATTTGCTCCTAAGTGTCCTTGGTGAGGGAAAATAAAACCATGAGATTCACTACCTGGCTGTAATTTGCTCAAATTGGCCTTAATTATTTTGTCTGTTTCCCTTATGACAGTCAAGGAATTTCCCTGGCTTCTTACTATCCTGCCACACTTCCACCAAAATGCCTCTGGCCTTTTCTCACCCGAACTCAACATAAAGATGCTTCTCCTATATCGCCACTCTGACCGCCATTCAAAGCCAAGATGTCTGCATATTTCTGCTTATTTTTGGCTTCACAGACTTACTGCTAAGCTCCTGTGCCATGGGGGAGGGGAGGAGCGCAAGACCCGGCGAGAGTCTGGCCTCTGTGCGATGGTGTTCTCTCGCCTGGATGGGATGCAGTTTATGGATCCATAAAATGAATGACTGGCACCATTTGTCCACTAAGATCCTTTTGTGTAAGTCATGATAATACCCCAAATAAGATTACAGGATTTTATACTTCTGGCATTTTAAAAAGTCAGAGTACTCCTCTCACTTGCTGCGTAGATTGTACCATAAGCTAAATGAAGTGTTAATGGAAACTAGAGGACAATTCCGCAATAGGAGACACTCATGTCAACCTGTGGCTCAGTGTGCGTGGAGGAGTTTCGTGGGCTGTGGGCAGCTCCAGAAGCACAGTGAGGAGCATACAAACTGCAACCAGGGCATTCTGCACTTCTCTATCAGTGGAAAAAATCCCTGCTATCTGAACTGGACAAACTGTTCTATAAGAGTCTATCTGAGAAAAGGCAGAATCAAATGTGTGACAACATACCAAAATTGACATACAAAAGTAGCATTTGATTGGAGAGACAATTCACAGCATTTTATTCATTAATCAATTTCATTCCATAAAGTGCCATATTGTTCCTGGCACCTTTAATACCACTGTCATTATTTCCCTTGGAGAGGGCCATGCTTTTAAAAAACCTGAGTTGGATTGCCATTGTTTAACTCTAAAATATTTTACCTTACCAAAAAAGCAACCCCTAATCAGAAGAGAAACAGAGGAAAAGACTGAGATTTGTAGAAATTGATTTGCACCAGAAATAATTCACTGTCCATAATCTTTCAGGCTGTGCTTTTACATGGAGACTTTTTTTGGGGGAAGGGGCTGTTTCTCATATATGTCTGCTTAAAACATATAATAGCATGCCCTACTGCAGCGAATTTCAACCACTGTGCCGCAAGAATTTTTAAAATGTGCAATACATTAGATTGTTAAAGAGAGAAAAAGACAACAGCCAACTCAACAATAGCTGTTTGGTTTGAATGAATCAAAATTATACCTATTTTTTGTGTGAGATCGGCAAAAAAATCTATTTCTTGGTGTGCCACAGAATTTTAGCAATTAGTTTATATGTGTCACGAGATGAGAAAGGTTGAAAATTGCTGCCCTACTGCATCACGCAAGGAAAGTAAGGCCTCTTCCCTAAAGAACAAGCAGGTGGGCCTAAAGGTGACAAAGTCATTCTACCGGGTTTCGGGGACAGAGTCCATGACCCTCCTGCCTCAATCAGTCAGTAGTAATAAGGTATAATGAGGTGAGTGGGAGGGAAAGGCAGTAACCAGCTGGATCACCCATGAACTAGAATCTCTAGAACAGGACTATCGGTGCTGGAATAAGCCAGAGCTGCAGGCAGACATCTACAGAACCTGGAGAAAGGCACTGAGAATAGGAAAGTGCGAAAAAGATACAGGCTGCCCACCGGGGGACCCACAGAAAAGTAGTGCTACCAGCCAGAGACAGTCCTGTGCTTTCCTTTGAGACAAGCATACACTATATGGGTTCTCCAGTTTTCACATAAAAATTGGAATGATACCAGAGAGTGAAATCAAAGTTTCCCTCCTTTGTTCAATAAATACTGATAGAACACCTGTGTGCAAGGCAACGAGGCAGGTGCAGAAGGAAAACTAAAGCTAAGATGTGGTCTAAGGAGTAATCTAGTGGTAGCCGTCAGACCCCTGCGCCCTGCAGAGCACCATGTCCAAGCGGCCATGTGGAGGCAAGGCCCACTCTGGCTGGCAGGATAGGGAGGGCATTCTCCAGTGCCCTCCTCTGGGGTCAGCACGGCCTCCGTACCCTTATGGAGCTGCCCTGTTTCAGGCACTTGCTATCTTCCTATCTTTCCTGGTAGTGTGAGAAACAGAAGTCTGAGAGGATAAGATCTTGCCTCACTGGTGCTAATAAACGTGTGTAGAATTGATGTGTTGTGGACATGTCATTCCATCTTGGTCCAGAAAGGTGGGAAACAGCCTGGGAAAGGAGAGCTAAGATGGAGGTGGTATGGGTAAGGTGTTTTAGTCAGAAGGTGGGAGCAGAATATGCCAACAAGCAAATTTAGCACATGGCTTAAACCAGATGGTAGGGAGAGGCCACCAGCACAGCCAAGGACTTCAAGAAGGTAGCTGGAAGTCCTCTTCCAAATAGGTTAGTCTGCAGCACTGGAAAGCTGATACCTTTTCCTGTTAGCTACTCAAGCCCAACCAGAGAGTATGAAATAATGAATAACTAGAGGGTCTTAACTTTACAGAAAAGAGAAAGATGGAATAAACACCCCGTCTACCCCCAAATAAAAGTGAGGTGGATGTCAAAGTGTAGAGAAAGCTTTTAGATATCTTCTTTAAGTGTGCTTTTGGCGTTTCGGTCTGTAAGCAATCAAGATGGAGAGGGAGGCTATCCCAAAGAGGAAAGTCTGCAGGAACCACAGTAGTTGAGCCCGACCATTTGTGATGCCTTTAGACCTAAAAAAAGAAGAAACAATTTAGCCACCAGAATTTTAATGTTATGGTTTTATAGAAATTATTGTCTTCTATTTTTTTTAAAAAATGTACTACTTCTATCTACTTTCTTTTTAAAAAAATATTTTAAAATACATTTTTATTGATTTTAGAGAGAGAGGATGGGAGAGGGGAGAGAGAAACATCGATAGAGAGAAACATCAGCATCTATCAGCTTCCTCTTGCATGCCCCCTACTGGGATCAAGCCTGCAACCCAGACATGTGCCCTGACCGAGAATTGAACTGGCGACCTCTTGGTGCATGGGTCAGTGCTCAACAGCTGAGCAATACCAGCTGGGCTTATCTATTCTCATTGGGTTTATTTTGCCATTTCCTCCAGCTTCTTAACTCAAATGGTTAGTTCATTTATTTTCATTTTTCTTGTGTGTTTAGGATGGTACATTCTTCTCTGAGAAGCAGTCTGGCTACTGCCCAGAGCACTGTATTATAAAACTGCTTCTCACATGATTCTGATGAGTGGATGGGATTAAACAGCACTGGCGTGGCTTCAGAGCCAGTGTTTTGAAGGCAGGCCAGAAGTGAGCCTCAGCTTGGCCAACTAACAGCTGTGGCCCTGGGCAAGCTGCTCATTCTCGCTCAGAATCAGGCTCCTTGTCTAAAAGATAGAAAAGAGGCTATTTATCTCGAGTTTGAGATGATTCACGAGATAACAGACACAAAGTGTTTGGTAAAGGGCTTGGAATATAGTAATAATAAACACCTGTAACTAAACTGCTTAAAACAAAGCTCAAAAAAATGACCCAACTAAAGTGAATGCTTGCTGTAGTCTTGTCTGTATATAAAAAAATCTCACATGGATGACTTTTAATTTAAAACAAAATTCAAATACAATATATGTAAAAATGATAGACGGTTGAGCCTTGAACTATGCAGGGGCTAAGGGCATTGACCCCTCCAGGTAGTTGAAAATCTGTATATAACTTTTGACTCTCCCAAAATTTAACTACAGTTGGCCCTTAGTATTTGCAGGGAATTGCTTCCCGGACCCCCTGGAGATACAGAAATCAGAGGATGCTCAAGTCCCTTATATAAGATGGCGTAGAACAATGCAGTCAGCCCTCCACATCTGCAGATTCCCAACTGTGGACTGAAGATACTATTTTCAGTCAGCAGTTGGTTGAATCCACAAATGCAGAACCCACGGAAAAAACCCTGTGTTCTTCAAGTGTCAAGTGTAATTTTCCACACTAACAAATTAAAGGAGAAAAATCATATGATAATCTTAATAAATGCAGAAGCAGCATCTGATAAATTTCAACATCCATTCTGAATTTAAGTTCTCAGCAAATGTAAAAATACAATGGAACTTCCTTATTCCAATAGAGGAGATCTACACAAGTCTAGAAAAACATGATACAAAATGCTGAGAGCTTTTCCTTTGATCAGGAACAAGGCAAGGATGCCTACTATCACCATTTTTAGTCAACACTGTATTGGAGGTACTAGCCAGTGCACTAAGGAAAGAATCATATAGAAAAGATATACAGAAGTGAAAGGAAGAAACAAAACTGCCTATAATTCTAGACGCAATTGTGTAACTAGAAAATTAACGGAATCTACAGATGAACTGTTAGAATTAATAAATGAATTCAGCAAGGTCCCTGGCCAATAGATACAAATCAACTATATTCATACATTCTACCAGCAAACAATAAAAAAAGGGCCAGGATGTATGAGAAATTCATGTTCATGCAGTGTTACTTATAATAGTAAATACTAGAATTAAAACTCCATCAGAAGAGGAATTTGTTAAATATATAAATACTAAGGCACATCCATATAACAGAATACTGTGCACAAATAAAATGAATGAGACAAACTTATAGGTATAGACATGGAAAATTAGACATATAAAACAAGAAAAAAAGTGACAGAAGAGTTTAAATCTATATGAATATATATTATGGTGGCTATAAAGTCAAACATATAGCCCAAGCTTATCTCTGGTTAAAAGGAATTCACCAATACCTTTTCATTGCTGGATGGTACGATTTGGGAGACTACAAATGTATTACATGTCTTCGTGTACTGACTCATTCACTTAAATTCATTCATTCATTCATAATTCAAAAGGAATGTTTATTCTGTTTTATAGTGACCACTGATACATTTCAACATGTCAGACCATAAAGAAATGATTTCAAGAACAAAATTATAGTGCCCTAACCTCTCCACGCCTGTTCTCCTTCCGCCCTTCAAAGAACTGGATAGGAGGGTGCCCATGAGACTTTTGGTTTTCACTAGATGCTCCAAACTGAGAACAAAATAAGTGTCAAGTACTCCAACAATGTGAGTCGAGGGGCTGGACCACACACCTCCAAGCTAAGATTTCACTGAGAGGCTGAAGAGGCCACTGGAAAGAGGTCCTAGTGCTGCAGCATTTCCTATCACAGGTCAAGCCCAAATAACAGCTTCAATAGAACCACTTGGAGAACATGACACAGTCCGCTGCAATTTGGGGGAAGGAATTAACAACTGACTCAAAGTTGAAAGATTGGCCGGCTTGCATGGTGGGTACATGGCTGCAGTGGGAACAGCACACACTTGCAGATTTAGCCCACTGATGGGACAAAGAAACTGGTACTGTGAGCCATACGGATCTTGGGATGGGCACTGGGCACGGGTGGGCTTAAAAGACCCTGGCCCAGAGTCTTAACTGAATGGCAGAAGAGATCTCAATAAAAGGAATTTCCCCAATCACAGATCCTGAGGGGAAATGGCAAGTGTCATGCTGGAGGACGTGTCTGAAGGAGCCATCAGGGGAACTGCGGAAGGGAGATCCCCAGTGATGGGCAGTTTCCCAAAATCCACCAGGGCCCCTCTGGAGAGAAGAGCCAACGCTGGGTACACAACAGCCATAGCACCCAGCTGCCTGCTCACAAGACAGACTGTGCCCTGTTGCCCCAAATTACTCCCACCACCTCAAGGGGCCACAAGCAGCTGTTAGTGAATAGGGGAGAAAGGTGGAAGATAAGACATTAAATGTCTTTTCCCCACAGCAGGCTCCTGAGCCCCAGCTGGATGAGAGCAGACATTGTGAAATAGAGAAAAGTTTAATAAAGAGATTGGACTAGACTGGATAATATCACAGTTTATGAAACTGCTTCAGATTTCATCCAGGGCAAGGGTGGAAGCTAGACAACNAGGAAAACCTATGAAACTGCTTCAGATTTCATCCAGGGCAAGGGTGGAAGCTAGACAACAATCTATACGGTGAGTTTATTTGGAGAGATGTGAGAAAGAAGAAAGCTGCTTTCTGCTTCTCTCCTGGAAAGTCCAGTTTGTTTAACCAACCAGAAGACAGAGTAGCATAATCTACTTAAAGCACTTAGCAGTGTCTGCCATAGTGTGTACCCAACAAATATTATTTTTGAAAATATGTTTTGATTGATTTTAGAGAGAAGAAGGTAGAGGGAGAGAGAAATAGAAACATTAATGATGAGAGAGTCATTGATTGGCTGCCTCATTTACACACCCTACTGGGAATCGAGCCCGAGACCTGGGCATGTGCCCTGACCGGGAATCAAATCATGACCTCCTGGTTCATAGGTCGATGCTCAGAGAAGAGCCAACACTAGGTACACAATGCTGAACCATGCCAGCTGGACAACAGCAATTATTTTTATTATTAAAATACAGTAGTTAACTGCATTTTCCACTTTTATACAGCAATAATACAGCAACAATAGGGGTGAGAGTTAATCTTAACCAGAAAAAAATCAATTGCAAAGCAATTTGGCATCACTATAACCATCTCTTTCATTACACCATACTTTCTGTATATGCTACATGAAATACAAATGTAAAGAGAATCTTTTCTAGTACTCTCACACAGTATTAACCTGCACTGGCATCTGCTAAGTGGCATTTAATCAAGGGGCTTTTAGCTTGCACTGCATCCCACAATGATCTATTAAGCTTGTAAAAATACATATTCCCATGTCTGAAACAAGGCCAACCAGATCAGGATCTCGTGGGTGTAGAAACCAGGCTTGTATATTTTGGAAAAGCTCCTCAGGTGACACAGTTGTAAAACTAGGATTGAGAATCATCAGCCCTGGTCAGTAACTAAACTCGGGGATAATACAGAGAATTAAAAAAGAAAAAGAAAAAAAAAAAAAGAAAAATCATCTAAATTAAGTAACTGATTAGCTAACACAAATGAAATAAATTCATTCATTAAATATTTATTGAGTACTCCCTTCTGGGTAGGCTCAGCATTAGGTGTGGGGATTCAACTCTACCCTGAGAATGCTCTAAATAAGTACATGAATTATTTAAATGTGGCTACTCAAATTAGATACCAAGAGAAAAGTGACAAATACCTATTAAAAGCACTTACTTGCACAATACCATGGCATACAAAGACTCTCCCACGTGAATCAGCCAGGCAAACCAATACCTGAAACAAAAGCCAGCCAGGTTTAAGGTGAGGGTTATCTGCTCATGAAATCTAACACAGAAAGATCGAAGAGACAGGTGCTTGAATGTGAACCAGCACCACTCTTAGATATCTACAGGTAACTGCGGGCCTCCCAGGTCTACAGTGAGACTGGAACTGCAGGGTCCACATCCCATTTCTGCACCCCTCCTTACCCATTGTGTAGAAGGCTGTGATGATGGTCCACCAAGTACCGGGTGAAGGGGCCCAGGGGCCCTAGGCTCTGATAAGGAATGCTCTGAGGCCAGAAGACAACCCACTGGAAGAGAACCAGAGGCACACAATACCTGTTAGGTCACTTAACCTTTAAAAGACGGCATTTAAAAGACAGCATCATACAAGCTCCATATATTTTCCAGGATCAACTGTACAAATAATGGTTTCTTTCCTTTTGCCTGTAAAAAAGAATGTATATGCTTGGGTTTCTGAGTATTTAACCTTTAAAAGACGGCATTTAAATTCCATCAGCATTTAAATTCGGCCAGCGGGACCCACTCCTTGCCGGGAACTAAAGTTCCCTTTCATCGGATAAAGGTTAAATCAGCAAACGTTTATTTTTGAGAGAGGCTATGAAATAATCCTGATTCTACAAGTACAAGAACAGACCAAAGAAACTCTGAACAAAGTCATCTGGGGTTCCACTCTTGACTTCTATTTTCTAGAAACTATTCTAGTGGGAGATTTATGCTGAGGAAGCTATGTGATTATCAGACTCAATGCCCAGGTTGGATGACTTCTCTTCTTAACGAAGTCTACCAAAACATTTTATACAGTTTATTAACAAATTTTAAGAGTTTATGTGCCTTGCCTAGCTTATTTACTGCAGGAACTATGGCTTGGGCCAAAGCCCCATTTGTTACAATCCCTTTCTCTTCTTTCACCTTTTCTACCTCTAAAACTGGGACTGACCCACTGCACAGAATTGGAAAATAAGTAAGATCCGGTTTGGGAAGTGCTAATAGCAACCACTTAATCACATAAGGCTTTTGTAATCTTACTAACTTTCCCTCAGTCTCTGTGTTGTAACCTCTGTCACTCTAGGCTTCTGAGAATAATTAAGTCCCAACAGCCCTAAAATTTATTGTCCCCTTCTGATTTCAACCCAGAGCAGTAGTACCACCTCTCCCCTATGTTATTACACACCTAAAACTTAAATAAAGCATAAAACATCACTCCATCACTCCAAACCAAGGAGAACACGATGGGCAGCATCTACCAGCTACACGGTATCCCGACTTGAAGCCACCAAAGCTTTCCTCCGCCTATGTCCTAACTAATCAGAGATGCAGAATCACACGACAGAAAGGCTCCTTCGAGGTTCCCCAGTCCCACGCGGCCATGTCCCAGACGGGGAACCGGGGCACAGGCAGGCAGTCGGCTCTCACAGCACGCGCGGCGGACACGACCGGCACGTGTCTAATCCTCGGTCTCCAGGGTCTACCGGGCAATATCCAAATGGTTTTGCCTTCATTCAAAATGACACCAACTCGGCCCACAACCTTCCTTTCCAGTTTTCCCTGATATCTCTTAAACGAAGTCTGTCGGGCAGAGAGAAGGGCTCCGCCTCTCAGAGAGACCCGGCCTTCTCGGCTCGGCGTCCAGGCCGCAACCCCGGATCCCCACTGCTCCTTCCTGCCCGTTCAGTCCTGCCTTAGACCATCCTTCAGGTTTATCTCGTTTTCCGAGCACTTTTAACTGCCTCGGACATTCAGCTTCGGAGGCCCTAAGCCTGGCTTCCCGCGTGAGCTCTCGGACTCGGGTGAATCGGGTAAGTCGCAGCAACCGCGGAGCCCAGGGAAGGCAGCGGCGGGAACGCGTTCCCGTAGAAACCCGCCTGGGAGCCGCCGCACTTCCGCTTACTCCAGTAACCTCGGCAACCGCCCGGCGCGCACGCGCAGGCCCCCGCTCCCACAGAGCCCCTCGCCCTCCGAGGGCGGCGCGGGCCGCGAACAGGTGCCCCGCCGGGTCCGTCGCCTCACCGCGAAGTAGCCCAGCGCCAGGGCCGTGACCAGCGAGGGCAAGAGTCTGGCTGTGCGGAAGTAGGCGGTGGCAGCCCCGCCGGCCTCCGTCTTCGCCGCCACCATTTTGAAAGGTGGTGTGAAGAGCCGCGCCCGCCCCCGCGTAGGGAAAG